ACTGCAACAAGTATAGTGGCTTGAAACAACAAAAATGTATTATTGTATAGTTCTGGAAGTTAGAATCTAAAAATAAGACTAAAGTCAAGATATCAGGTATCAACAAGGCTGCATATTTTCTAAAGACTTTAGGGGGAGAATCCATTCCTTGACTTTTTCAGCTTCTAGAGACTACTCACATTCCTTGGCTCATGGCCTTTTTCAGCAATGGTATCACTCCAATCTCTACATCTGTATTCACATTCTTTCTCTGCTCTCCTGCCTCCCTATTCCATTTTTAAAGGACTCCTGTGCCAGGACTGAAAATGGGTACCACAGAGAAGTGTCCCAGTTCCCTGGCACTGCCTTGCTCCATAGCCAGTTGTATGTGGGGCCACCCACCACTTGTCCAATGTGAATCCTGCTGACCAGGCCCTGGAGCTTCCCAAACACACCCTTCATACCTGTCTGGAGGCTATGTTGGGAGTAGCAAGAGATCAGGGATAAGAAAGGTCCACTGGAAAGGGCTATCTCAAGGTCTTCAGGGAGATTCATACCAGTGACAGGCTGTATGCACTACGTAGGAGGCTGCCATTTGTAGTCACTGGGAGTCAACACATTTTAAATGCAATGATTGTGTATTTTGGGCTTGAGTGCATCCACCCAGCTGTGTATCAGGGATGTGCCTAAGCTCAGTCTCACCCAAGCTCAATCTTATTCTCTTGTTTCTTGACTTTTCCAGTCCCAGCAGCTGTCACCAATCTGAGGATCACAGAAAACTCCACTAGACACCTATCCTTCAGTTGGACCACCTCAGTAGGGGAAATGAACTGGTATAACATTTTCTGTACAATCCAGATAGAACTCTTCAGGACAGAGCTCAAGTTGACCCCCTAGTTCAGAGCTTCTCTTTCCAGAACTTGCTACAAGGCCGAATGTACAAAATGGTGATTGTAACTCACAGTGGGGAGCTGTCTAATGAGGCTTTCATATTTGGCAGAACAGGTAAGACCCCAACCCAAGCAGCAATGAATAACAAGGAAATTGTCACAATATTCACTGACTCTTCCTTGATTTGTTCTTAGTTCCCTATTCTATCCATGGTGTAGCTTTATATAAGTTTGTGACCATTAGGTTTTTTGACCCTAGTCATATCTTTGATTATATATGAAAAATTTGTGAACAGTTTTTTCACTGGCTTCAGTTCTTCTGTCTCTTCTATTCACCCACAAGCTATAAGAGAGGATTTAAGCCTATTGTGGCTCTATCAAGCTATGCCTTCAGCTTCCTTTAGGAAATAGATGGAGTGGATGGCAGATCCAGAGAAGAGCAACCACAAATTGTACAAACAGTAACTGCTGTGAATTGGTAGCTTAGCACTGGATAAAATGAAAACAAAGAACTCCAGGAAAATGAGAGAGAGAGATCTCTCTGGGCTGTGGATAAGCAACAGAATTTCCTCTTCTTCTACAAACTGAGTCCTGTTCAACTCTTTTTTTCTCATATGACAATAGTTTTTGAGTGCTCTTATGTGCCAGGCACATGGCTCATTACTGGAATGAAATGAACTAGACAGACAAGGTCCCTGATCTCAGAGAAGACTATATTAGGGGAAAGGAAAGGGAGCCAAGGCACAGATTTTAAAGGTATGTGACTTTGCTACACCTTAAATTCTATGAAGTGAACAATGTGTCCTAACAGTGACTTAGCAAGACAATACTTTAAACAGAGAAGGCATTTCAGTTGAGACCTGAAAGTAAAGGGTGTCCAGTGAAGAAAATAATCCAAGAACACCCAACAGAAGTTTCACACTGAAGACAATTAAAGGACTGGCAATAAGCTCGGACTACAAACAGAATTGCCTACATGTTACCTTTTCCTGGACAACATACCCTCTGTACATCTTTCCTTACCTGCTTATTAATATTTAAAGACCCCTCTGCCAAGCAGAGTAGCACACACTTATAATCCCCAAACTCAAAAGGTGGGAGGATGAAGAGTTGGAAGCCAGTCTGGGCTACATAGTGAGACCTCATCTCAAAAATAAATAAATTTCCCCAATAAGCAACAATAATTTTCAAAGAAAATAACAAAGCTTAAATACCCATGAAGCAAGTAGCAGGGGGAGTAATTTATACAATGGTAGGCATGACTATTAATATCTTCTTCTTTCTTTTCTTTGGTTATTTTTGAGATTAAAGTCTCTCACTTTATGCCCAGGCTGGTGTGGACCATGATGCTCCTATTTATGCTGCCTTTCTAGACAGGATGACAGGTGTGTACCACCACACCCAGCTTTTTATCTGTTGAGATGGAGTCTCACAAACTTTTTGCCTAGTCTGGACTCAAACTGTAATTCTCCTGATTGCCTCCCCAGTAGCTGGGGTGACAGGCATGAGTCATTGATATCTAGCTAACATCTTTTTCTAAATGAGTTTGTGCCAATACAGATTTTGATAAGAAAGAGGATGAAATAACTGAAAACCTAAAGGCAGATGGAAGAGACCCAGAGAGGGTTGTGATGAGATATTGGTTGCCAGAGAGATGGGTCAAACCAGGTTCTGGAGCCATTTATGAATATTTTGTGGGTCTTTTATGAGCTAAGTAACAAGCTATTGCTTAGTATTAATCACTTATGAAGATTTCATTTTATCTGGGTGCATGGGGCCAACATATAGAATTACCACCTGTTCTACTTTGTTTTAATTTGCACCACATTGCTAGCCTACATGCCCCTGATGAAAGTGATCTGAAATGTAAACAAGAGCTGATTCCACAATTCCCATTACTCACCTGTATGCTCAGCATAGCTCAAAGTCTCTCCTGTGAGCCAAAATGCCTTTGGCTTCTTTTGCTTTCAGTAAGAGTTTTTCTTCTGTTTAAGTCCCAGGTGCTGTGACTCATCTCAAGGGATCAAATCGGAACATGACTGATAGCCTTTGGTTCAGCTGGAGTCCAGCCTCTGGGGACTTTGACTTTTATGAGCTGATACTCTACAATCCCAATGGCACAAAGAAGGAAAACTGGAAAGACAAGGACCTGACGGAATGGCGTTTTCATGGCCTCATCCCTGGAAGGAAATACATGCTGTGTGTGGTAACTCACAGTGGAGATCTCAGCAATAAGGTCACAGGAGAGGGTAGAACAGGTAACAAGCCACCACCAATAGCCAAGCATTGGTGGGAAGAAGCTTCTAAGGATGCTTTTTAATTATTATTTTAATGATAAGAAGTAAAATCAATAATGATGTGTCATGTACTAGACCCCAAACTTGAAAAAGTCCTATAGTCCATTGGATAAAGGATGCATACTTTGGTGAAAAAGAGCTAAGTCCTTAGTTTAGCTGCCCTTTATCTATATGAAGCCATGTAGCTCATTGAGAATTCCTCAGCCTCAGTTTTTATATCCACAAAATGAAGACAATGATATATATCATCATTGTATTGCTTCCTAAATATTTTTGTGTTTGGAGTAGACATAGATAATATCTGCATGTCACCCTACAATCAATCAATAAGACTAAAACTGGAAATAATTGTCTATGAAGCCCAGCCCTGCTACCCTCAAATCTGATGGAATCAATATACCTTCATGCACTTGTCACCCATTCAGGGCACATTCATGCTTTATAACAGCCTGGTGAGGAAATTCTGATTATGAATATTAAAGGAAAGGTGCATAAAATGCTAGAGAAAAGTGCTTTATTCATTGTAAATACTGTAAATGAAAGCTCCTACTGCATTATCATATTATCTCTTCCTACGAAGTACATTAAAAGTAGATCTGAAGGTGCATGGTGATCTTATTTGCACATGTTATGGCACAGATGTGATGATGTGATTTTTCACTTTCTCCTGCATATAGCTCCAAGTCCTCCCAGTCTTTTGTCATTTGCCGATGTCGCAAACACATCCTTGGCCATCACCTGGAAGGGACCCCCAGACTGGACAGACTACAATGACTTTGAGTTACAATGGCTCCCCAGAGATGCACTTACTGTCTTCAACCCCTACAGCAACAGAAAATCAGAAGGACGCATTGTGTATGGTCTTCGTCCAGGGAGATCTTATCAATTCAGTGTTAAGACTGTTAGTGGCGATTCCTGGAAAACCTACAGCAAACCAATCTCTGGATCTGTGAGGACAAGTATGACCTGATTTGCTTTTCTTGAGTTTCAGTTGGAGGGAGAACTATTTGTTCAATATCTTATTCTAATAGGGTTGTTTGAATCCACATTTTTTTTTGAGATTTGTTAGATTTAAATTCAGTCAGAAGTCTCCATAAAGTTCTTTTATTCAATATTCTCAACAATGGGCAATAAAATAATAATCTCTGCCCCCATAGAATTGGGGTGGAAGTACTATCACTGAACAGAAAATTATATTTTGGGAATATGATGAGGGAGGTAAATGACACTTTAAAAGTACATTTTAAGGGCTCTTGAGCTACAGATGCTGGTCTTAAGCCACATTCCCGGAACCTGCTCCTTCTCTTCCTTAGAGAGTGCACGTTTCTGTTTTTTGCTTTCCAATAAAACTTTGCTGCTGCTTCTCAAAAAAGAATATGTCATGTTAGGGGTATCTAAACCAATACAAGGGAACTTCCTGGAAGAAAAAACATCCAAATTTAAACAAAGGAGAGAGAGAAGAATTCCTCAGGTACAGGTGGGGGAAAAAAAAGTAGAGAATATTTCAGGTAGAGAGAATAAAACACTGCAAGACCAGGGAGAAGGGAAAAAATATACTAACATAGGAACAGAAAGAAGTTTAGTTGACCAGAGCAGGAAAGGCGAAAATACAGAGAATCAGATAATAAAATGTCATATGTTGTGGTATCAATTTTGAGCTTCATTCAAACCAAGTAGAGCCACTCAACATCAGCAGAGATAGCATAATCATATTTACACTTCATAGAAACAAGTTGATACCTAAATCTATAGCTTCCAAAATCAGATCATATAGTTATTGGTTATTGGTAAAATATGCAGTTAAAAATTGGAAATTTAAGCAGGAATCTTTCATTTATTCAACAAACACTAATGCAATGTCAAGTAACACACCTGTACTCCATATTGTATCTAAAGAACAGTTTTGAGCCAGGTAACTATGTGTGAAGAAGATTAAGAGTTTTAGTTTAAAACAAGTTCAGGATGAATTTTCAGTGACTTATTTTGTGCTGTGTGAATCGAATCTGTTAAACAGAACACCATGCCCAGGTCATTAAACACTTCAGCCCACTGCATCTTAATATTGGAGTCACTGAGAGAAACACAATGTAGTCAAGCACTGGATGGAATAAAGCTCTACTTACATAAAGAAGAGACAAAGCAAGGTCAAACACAGTAGTACACATTGGCTCCCCATGGCTAGGAGGTGTCTCCCAGCTGCTGATGCAGGGCAAATGACAAAGCACACCCTCTCAGGCTGTAGTAAAATTTCCCTGTCCCTTCTTTTTGGAGGACAGGTACAGTATGATTTACATGCTTACATAGAACAAAAGAACACACGTTAAGCTTACAACAGAGAAAGATACTCCCACTCAAGGTGGTGAGTCCAACACAGGCCATGTGGGCTCTTGATTTCGTAAAGAAAATGTTCCAGCCCCAGGATCTATTTTTATATAGCTAAGTGTATGTCCCAACAGCATCCCAGGTACTGAGTTTAAGAGCTGATACAGTGCTAGTAGAGTGGGGCTTACAGATCACATCTGCATGTTAGAATTTAAGAGAGGCATTTACCAAATTAGACATGCCTAAGAAGAGAACAAGTGGCTTGAAGAGGGACTCAATGCTATGTTTTATGAGGAGTATCTAACGACATTTCTATTTTTAGAATTGTTAGGATTGGCTTTGGCTGTGGGCAACTGAAAATCTAACACAACAGACTTAAACAAAATGCAAGTTTATAATTCTCATATAAACATTCAGATACTCAATTTCTTATGAATATGCTCCAACCTTGAATGAATAATTTGTAGTTCTTATCTTTACTTATTTATGCCTAGGTGTAGGGTGTTTTTGGTTGTTAGTGTTTTGGGTTTGTTTTGTTTTGCTTTGCTTTTTGGCATTTATCCTCTTTGGTGTTCTTTGAGCTTTCTGGATGTGTGGTTTGATGTCTGACATTAATTCATGTGAAATTCTCAATCATTAGTTTCAAAAAGAGCCTCTCTTTCTTCTCCTTCTGGTAATCCCATTATGTCTATGTTATCCATTTTGTATTTGTTCCACAGTTTTTAGGTATCCTTTTCTGGTTTGGGTTCTCTTTTTTTTTTTTCAACCTTGTTCTCTTTGCTTTTCAGCTTTAAGCTTTCTACGGACATATCCTCAAGTTCAGCTCAAAGACTCTTTCTCATCTGTGTCCAATCTACTAATGATCCTACTAAAGGCATTTTTCATTTCTGTTACAGTGTTTCATCTCTTTTTGCTTCTATTTTAGGATTTCCATCTCTCTACTTTACATCATCCATCTATTTTTGCATGTTTTCTGCTTTATCCATTAGAACCCTTATAATATTATCATTGTTGTTTTAAATATCTCATCTGATAATTCCAACATCCCTGCCATTTCTGACTCTGCTTCTGGATATTTCTTCAGTCTTTTCAAACTGTGGAGGATTTTTTGTTGTTTTGTCCATTAGGATAACTTATAATTTTTTTCTTGGAGCCAGACTTGAAGTTCTGGATGAAAGGAACTATATAGGTCTTTGGCAATGTGGTGGTAAGGTACAGGAGAGCATTTTGTAGCGAGTAGATCATTAGATCTCAGTCTTTTAGTGAGCTGGTGCCTCTGCACTATGAACTTCACAACTGCTTGTCATTCTTCTCATTCCTCCTCATTCCTCCACTTTGGTAGAGAGGCAGGCTAGAGTGGCTAGAGGTAGGTATTTTCCTTCCCCCAGGTCAGTCAGACCCTGACAAACCACAGTAGGTGAGATTCTGGTTTGTTTCTCCTGAGGACAGAACTTGCTATATAGCAGAGTGCTCTGGTCTGTTTCAGAATGGTTCTTTATTTCCCTTCTCCTGCCAGAGAGCTTTTTCTCTGATATTTATTGTCAGAACCTAGTCAAACTCCCAGAACTAAAACATAAAAGTGTGGGGTCTCCCAAAGACTGGGTCTCCTGGAGTTTTTAACTCTCAGATTTGTCCACACTGAGCCTCTAGCAATTCTTCAATTACAGTTCAATTTTCCTCCTCAATACACATCCTTGTGGTACTTTTCAGCTCATAAGTCTCTCCCTTGGTAAGCGCAGCCTTTTTGTATTTTCCCCCTTCTGTGTCTGCAGTCAGGGGCTGGGGGCCAGTTGGCAGTGGTTGCCCCAGTGTCCTCACCTCTCTTATGAAACCCAGCTTTTTACTTGTCAGGACAGAGTGGTGACTTCGAAGCGCCTTCTACATGTAGAAGTAGAAACCAGAAGTACCCATTGCTTAGAGAATGGGAGTGTAACTTGAGTTCCAGAAGACAGGTAAGATTTAGAGGTGACAAAGGGAGAAAAGGAACTACAGGAAGAGATTGAAGCAAATTCCCATGTTATTCTTTCTAGAATTTGCAGATTATGAATTAGGCAGAGTGTTTTTAAAAGATTTTTCTCTGAGGCTAAAAAGAAAGTGTCATTGGATCTCAGCTGTGACTTAGTTTGAAGGTCATTCAATAGATTAAAAAGCTGTAAGTGTTTGAAAAGACATAATTATTGCTTCCCCAAGAGTCAATTCTTTCTGTAACCTGAAAAATCTTTGTGTCAGCTTTTTTTTTGAAAATCATCTCCTTCCAATCTTTAACTTAGATGACATTTATATTCCTTCATATGCAATAAGAATTCATTCAGTGGCATACAGATGCTGGGTGATTCAAAGTTATGACTGTTTAGGACAAAAACACCCTATTACAAAGGATGTGTCAGGAGCAGGTTGTTATATTACAAATCAGAGCACTTGCTACTGTCATTGTAAGGGACCACTAGTCTACACATAGTTCCTATGAAATCATGTATGATTTGCATATGCAGGCACAGCGGGCTCCATGCTTACAAAAGAGGCCCTAAACTCAACTTAATTCTCTGTTAATGCCTTGATATTCTTAATTTTGAACAATGGGCTTCACATTTTCACTTGACATGGGACTCTGAAAATTATGTAGCCAGGTCTATATAAATAAATATATAGCATTAATTTGGGGAGGTAGAAGAAGTGGAGAAAAGAGGAAAGGATAACATTCATTTCGAGAAAATAAAAACTCCAAAATGAAAAGAGATAGGTTTTTCCTATTTGATGTCCTTAACTTCCATCACAATTGTCTTTTGCCTTATTTTTTAATCCCTTCCCCCAACATATAACATTTCTGTGAGCTTTTTTGATGGGTTGATCTCATTGATTATTGCTATTTGAGAACTGTTACTGTATTTTGTGCTGTGACCAACAGAACAGTGGGCAGGCTTTTTCATTTTAGTTTATCAAGAATTTTTATTCATGAAGTAAAGTTGGGTGGTCTAAACCTAAGTTTTCTAGTTCTATTCTAGAGGCTGAGGGGTCCTCAGAAACCCTGGGGAAAGAGGGTATGTAAGGGAAGGTCTTGGTTTCCACACTGGCTTAGCATCTCTGACTCCCTAATGCACACTTAAAACCTAGGACCAGAGCCCTTCTGAGTTTGTGTAGTGGGGATCTGAGAACTTTTCTTTTTTACATGGCTCAGTTGCTAAAATTGAAATTAAAAAATGATTTATCTAAACTGTGCAGTTTACCTTCACAGAATGCAATTAGAGATATACAGCTGGTTGAGAGGCCTTGGAGTTTAGAATTTGTGTGTGTGTGTGTGTGTGTGTGTGGTTTGGCTGTTAACCTAATAAGGGTTTTTCTTTCAGGCTGACTCTTTTACTCATTGCTTTGTCATTCACAACAAGTAAGATCCACCACCATTCATTGAGTTCCTACTGTGTGTCAGCTCTCTCTTGTGCAGGGGGAAAAAAAACATGAATGACAATAGTTTAGGGGGATAGAACAGGATGTACATGAGAGGGACAGTGCTTCAGTGCCTGGAGCATGGCATGTGAGTAGGAAGGGAACAGGGAGACAGAAGTCAGGGCCTAAAAAGTAATAAGTCAGTAATGCTAGTTCTTCATTTCTTCTTTATAAGAGATCACATTTATTGAGTAATTACTATGACAGCCTCTCTTCTGGTTGGCTGTGCACGTTCCAACCATTGAATCATTACAATAACCATATGAAACAGATATTCTTCATCTCCTCATTTTACAGATGGAACAGAGAGATGGAAAATCATTTGCCCAAAAGTGCACAGCTGGTGAATAGAATTTGTTTTCAGGCCAGCTGAGCTGCAACTTTTAACCTCTAAGCTACCCTACCCCACCTTCTATCTTACTTCTGCCTCTTGACTTCAGTGTACTTATATGCATTTGTATTTCCAATCATGTCACTTGTTAATTTTCTAAAGGGATAGAATTTTAACATTTTTTTTTCAAAATTAGATCTGGCAGGAAGAAATTCCCTTGAAGATCCATGAGAATTTTTTCCTCATAAAATAATCCAAATAAATTGTGAGAACTGTTTGTTTTAATCTCAACGAGAGTTGGACCCAAAGGAGCTGGGGGGAAAAATGTGTCTTCCAGGTTACTAAAATGTGTCTCTTTCCCTCTCTGTTAGAGCCAGACAAGATACAGAACCTGCATTGCCGGCCTCAGAACTCCACAGCCATTGCCTGTTCTTGGATCCCTCCTGATTCTGACTTCGATGGCTATAGCATTGAATGCCGCAAAATGGACACCCAAGAAATCGAGTTTTCCAGAAAGCTGGAAAAAGAAAAATCTCTGCTAAACATCATGATGCTAGTGCCCCATAAGAGGTACCTGGTATCCATCAAGGTGCAGTCGGCTGGCGTGACCAGTGAGGTGGTTGAAGACAGCACGATCACAATGATAGATCGTAAGTGCTCCTGGAGTGTACATGGGCTCTCCTGTCACATGGGGTGAATGGCTTTGCACCTCTCTCCATCATATCCATCAGCACTATTCATCTGCATACTTGTACGTAAGCCTGCCTCATTATCAGGTGGAGAAGAGGACCCAAACAGCTTCGGAAAATGGAAACATTTCTCCAGATAAAATACCCTGACAACAAACAAGTTAAAGCATCTTAAAGTACCTGAATGAGTTAGTATGCAAATACATCACTTTGCCTGATATAGTTAGAGCAATAATGGAGCTGTTAAGCAATTTGATATAGAACTTCAGGAAATCTTGCTGAGGAGCTGCCTCTTTCATTATATTTAATGTGCCACCAAAGATCACTTCCTCTGCCTGCTTCCCTTCAGAAGAGGAGACAAATTTCTTGATTATAAGCTTTAAACACAAAGCCTCACACACACACACACACACTCACACACACACACACATACAGAGTCTGATGGAGGTGACCAGAGTCCTTTACTTCACTGACTTGTTTAGGAGGTAAAAGCAGAATTGTGACCCCTCTTGCTTCCTTCCCTACCTCTCTTTTCCAGGCCCTCCCCCGCCACCTCCACATATTCGTGTGAATGAAAAGGATGTACTAATTAGCAAATCTTCCATCAACTTTACTGTCAACTGCAGCTGGTTCAGTGACACCAACGGAGCTGTGAAATACTTCACAGTGGTGGTGAGAGAGGCTGATGGTAAGTTATGATGAGTTAAGGAACTCTCTCAAAGGTCATGTGGAGGCTCGTTCTCCTACAAGTTTTTAAGAGTAGAAAAGTTAATTGTTACTTCCTGCAGTTCTGTCTCTGCTGGATACAGAGAGATGTAAACAACAACAAAAACTCCTCCAAGGCTCTTTTGGTAATTAAGCCTATCTATTATCTTTGAGGTTTAATTATTGAATGGGAGGATGATATAATAATAATGCCAAATATGACAATAATAATAATAATAATAACTATAACCATTTATTGAGGTCTTTCTATTTGCTAGGCACTATTGGAAATGCATGGTTTATATTGACCCATTAAATCTTCCTCACTAGTCATCAATCTTACTCACTATTGTTTTTTTTTTTTCCTGCCATTAAACAGCAATATGCCTCAACTCTCTTCACCCATCTCTGTCTCACTCTCAAACCACCCACCAATTCACAAAAATATCCCAAAGCTTAACAGAGGGAAAAGATGTTCATGAGAAGCATTCCTCCATTTCTGAGTTTCAAATAGCGTGCTTCATTCTCTGGTTTCCTAAAATACTCAGTGGCTATCTAATTCCCACAGGCTGCACAAATACTAGGTCATAGTCATCCCAGCTTTCTCTGAAACCACTGAATGTGACCTCTAGAGCTTATTTAAGCAGCATTTGTCAAACCATTTGTCACTGAGGTCTTGTATGTTAATTCTCCAAAAGAGATGTGTGTGCCTGCAGTGACATTAATATGCTTTACCTTTATTATATTTTTCAAAATTATTTAAGGTGCTGCACATGAGTTTCTTAAGCATCTCTGATTTTGACCCATTTGTGGGTAAGCAGGAAACTTCTGGAGTGATGTGTAGACTAAATAGTATCTTAGTTTCACTGACTATCAAACAGTCTATATGAGTTTACAATTTATTTAATTGTACTGAAGCTGGATGTGTATAATTAATTAAATAATTTCAAGTGTCATGGTGCATCCCAGATTTCCTCACACCACGTAATTGAAGATAAAGTTGTGAAAACTGTGGAAAGACTTTGGATTTAATTAGGCTACAATGAGTATATACATGAATATAAAGCAGTGACCAAAAAGTCACACCCTTGAAAATGGCCTTGTTTTCTGAAGACAGGCGGGTTTCCATTATTGGTGGCCACAGAGATGAGCTATAGTCCCCTGGTGACCTAACAATCCATCTCTTGTAAATGTCATGTGGTTCCCTGACAATCTTAGATAACAACCCATCTCTTATGAATGTCAGTTTAGTATATACACCCAACCTAAAGGCAACATTCCTTTTTAACTACTGCCAATAAAATACTAGTTCCATTTCTAGACAGGCAAATTAGTGACAAAAGAACCAATCAAATGCAGGAAGTCATGTTATCTGGATCTTGAGTTTGCTTATCGGAAGGGAGCTCTAATGGTTAGGGAGTGTAAGAGAGGAGATATGTGGGAGGAGGGGAGCCAGAGAGCCTTTTGAAAGGTAGCCTCAGGTTTAGTCAGGGCATGAGGATTAGAAAAGGGAGGATGGAGTAAAGAAAAGTCTATAAAAGTCTCTGTTTGGAACTTTTCTAAAATGGGAATTGGAACCAATGACAGAAAGACCTCAGTTGTTGGAGTTAATCTCTCTTAATCAGTTCCTTCTCTACCTACCAATCTGCATCCTTAGACAATAAGTGTTAAAAGACCAATAAACTAGAAAAAAATAAGATTTCTAGGCTCCACTCATAGTGAGCAAATTTTATTAAAAAAGAGACCAGGATGCTGTGATGAGCCCCACGGTCCCACTCCTTGAAGTTCATTGTGAATGCTATCAGATCGCTATACTATTTATCTTCCTAGTTATGCATTTCTCCAACCAACATCAAAAGCATTTCACAGTGCCAAAACATACAGCTGGGCGGGAGGACAGGGACAGAGTTCTAGGAAGTGCTCTGAGTGAGGGCCCAAATTTAAGCCAATATTAAACTCTACTCAAGATAACAGAGAGCCACACACACAGAGCAACTATCAACCTGGACATGGCACGTGGAGCATGCCTAGTAGGACAACTGCTCTGGCATGAGACATGATTTCTCTTATCTCTTCTTTGTTTCCCAGGTCATAAGGGTTTCCTTATTAGCTCAACTACAGTGGTTGTTGGCAAGACAGAGAACTTACTGAGGGGGTTGGCTCTCACAATGGGGAGTTATCCAGTTTCTGGAATTGTAGCATACATTATCGCTCAATGCCACTGATTTTCTTAGAAACCTGGTGGTATATATGTATATGTGCATGTAGTGTATATAATATACATACTTTATTTTTGTAAGTAAAATTAATTTCATCAGGAGGAATTCATAGCCTTTCCTTTTCCTTTGAGATCACAGAATCTATACTCTGGGATGGCCAAATAGTTGATGAGCAGGTAGCCTTAGAAACCTAGTTAGAAACCACTGAAATCACTCAAGTCACAAGAAAGACAGTCTTTAACTGTGGGTTTTCTCCTCCAGGCAGTGATGAGCTGAAGCCAGAACAGCAGCACCCTCTCCCTTCCTACCTGGAATACAGGCAGAACGCCTCCATTCGTGTGTACCAGACCAATTACTTTGCCAGCAAATGTGCTGAAAGTCCTGACAGCAACTCTAAGAGTTTTAATATTAAGCTTGGAGCAGAGATGGACAGCCTAGGTGGAAAATGCGATCCCAGTCAGCAAAAATTCTGTGATGGACCACTGAAGCCACACACTGCCTACAGGTTAGATGCATTATCCTCATTTTGCTAGAAAAGACATGCTACGTTACTAGGTACTCAGCTGTTTGAGCATCTGCTGAATATGAGCTCCTGTAGATTAATAGCCTACGTTACAAGTGTACTCTACGTTTTAGTGGGTAATTTATAAAAGCTGGGTTCCTGCCTCCATTCAGAGGTAATGTGCAAAGAGGGCTTTCAGCATTGTGCAAAAGCTCCAATTCATTATGTAAAGAACTGAAGCTTTTAATAGATTATTCTTTCTCCTACAACTTTTTAATGAGTCAAATAATTTATGATGTTACCTATTGCAAAAGTGTCTGAATAAAAAGACTGAGTTTAAGAAGACCCAAATGATATGAGGTTCTGTCATCCACTTTAAGTGAGGACTGAAATTATACTTATTTATTTATCTTATAAAGCATGTAAAGATGAAAGTGCTCTGTGGCCCAGAGAGCACTCTTGAAGGGAAAGGGTCCCTGAATGAAAGGACAACCTTTCCTCTTTCTTCAGTGGCAGATGAAAAGGAACAACTATTTGGCCTTCCCCCCAGGAAGCACCACTTCAACCAGCAAGTCCTTCTAGCTCAGGTTTGGTGGTGCTCTTTTTCTGCACTGTTTCCAGAAAGCAGTAAAAGCAGAGGAACATAGTGTCCCAAACAGGATCCTCAAGAGAAGGGAACATAGGTTACGGTCTTTGATATAAAGCTATAGGCATCTTCAGTTATTTCTGGGCCTGGCAGGGTGGTACACACCTCTAATCCCAGCACTTGAGAGACTGAGGCAGGAGGATCTTGAGTTGAAGGCTAGTTAAGCTACATAGAGAGTTATAGGTCAGCCTGTACTACATAGTGAGACCCTGTCTCAAAGACTGGAAAAAAAAAGAAAATCTTTGCAGAGGATGCACTTTCTCTGCTGGATGTTGACTATCTGATATCTAGCCAACATGACATCCAGTCAGGTTCTCTTTGGGCCAGTATCCATTCTGGTAGGTTGGTGCTGAGGTCTTATTGACTCTTACAGTTTTGAGTACCTCTCCTAGGTCTTAGTACAAAAATATTTTTCTGCCAGTTCTGAAAGGACACATTGCACCTAAGAGGGTTTCTTAGGCTCTTCCTCACATCAACCAAAGCAGGCAAATGGTTTCCTTAAATTAAAAGAGTCACTTTGAGCTACCTCTAGGATTCAACACATGTTTGCTATTACTTCCCAGGCAAGACTGGCACCTCCACAATAAACACACAGAAACTTTGGGATATTTACTTCTAGAAGAGACCATATGAGCCTACTTGAAGGAGATGAGATCTAGGACACACAAAGTAAGAAGCATAAGAGAGGTCAGAAACTAGGATACTTCAGTTTCTATTAGAATCAAGATAGTCCTCAGCGCCTTGGGTATGTAGGCTCAAAGATGGAAAGTTGGGGGTGTTTTTGTTAATTTACTTATGGAGGGAGAAAGAAAGATGACTCCTTCATTGCATATACCCCTTTAGGTGAGGTGGATCTGTTCCAGGACCCCTCATTGTCTGAAACTATGAGTTGTACTGAGCCCTATAAATTAATGTTTTTTCCATTTTAACTAAGCACTCATTGTGCAATATGGCCTAACTTTTGCAATCTGAACTGTGACAGCAAAACTAGCACAAAAATTTCTTTTTCCTTCTTCAGTTTCACAGTCAGAAGATTTATTCTTTCTGTAGATATTAGAAACCTCAGCATAGACTTTTGTTTTCTTTCTTTATTGAGTTGAGAACGTTCACATTTTAACTAAAGAAAGCATTTTACTGCTCTGGCATATCTGAATTTCCAGCATCACTACTCTTGCACTTGGAGCCATTATTAAGTAAAATAAGGGCTACTTAAACACAAGCACTGTGATACACGACAGTCAATGTGAAAACAAGATGGCTATTACGTGACTTACAGGTGTATAAACATACACAGCATGGCAAGGCTAGACAAAGGGATGATTCACATCCTTGGCAGGACTGAATTGATATGTCATGAGATTTCATCACACTATTAAGAACAGTGCACAATTTAAAACTTATGGATCATTTATTTCTCGAAATTTCCATTTGATATTGTTGGACTACAGTTGATTGTGTGTAATTGAAACAGCAGAAAGTGAAACTGTGAGTAAGGGAAGGCAACTATACTACACTTCACAGAGAGAGCAAGTAAGAAGCCATGGACTTTGTGCCTGGACCAGAGGCGCCCAGTCTCTCAGTGCAGATCCTTCCCGTGCACAGTAGCCACTGAGGTCTTTGGAAGAGGCCCTGCACTTGAGTCCAGCTCTGCTACTTGTTATCTATGTAACTTTGTAAGCAGCATTCACGTTCTCTGAGCTTGTTTTCCTCATCTGTAGAGTGTCACAGGGTTACTCTGAGGAGTAATGTATATGATAGATCAAATTCTGTCATGTACCTTCTAGACGAGGTCTTCCTATGATTCTCATTCACTTACAATAGCTCATCACCAACGATTTACCCCAGGTACACCCTGCCTCCTACTCCTCACTCCCCCAAGTTTCCTATATGTGGCATGGCCCTCCCACATCTCCAAACCTTTGCATATTTTTTCACTCTCTTTGGAATGCTTTCCACTTCTCTCTGGCTGGCTTCAAAGCCCAACTCAACACTCAACCAGTCCCCTACCACCCCACCACTGTAAACCCACAGTTGGGTGATTGTATGCTCTCTCAGCTCTATTGCTGTAGCTCTCTGTCCTTATATCTCTCTAATCCTGCATTTACCCATGGTTTTTACCCTTTCTATCAAATTACCTGCCTTCTTCACTAGACTACAAGAACTTACTGTCCAACAGGGAAACAGACATGTCATTGGTTACAGACAATATATCAAGTACTCGACACACAGAAGATGTGTTCAGGAAATGTTCATGAACAAATAAGGGAATGAGCCAAGATGAGCTGTGGAAGTTGCACAATCTTATTACAGCTTCATCAACAATTATAATAGCAATAATAATACTGATATTCAAGCCATGTGGGTGCTCTAATGGGCATCTCAGATTGACTGTTCGCACAACTAAACTCAACCTGGATCTTCCCAAGCCCCTCCCTAGATTTCTCTCATGTTAGTAAATGGCACCTCCATTATTCCAGTTGTTCCCCATTCAGAACATGTGAAGTCATCCTCCATTCCACACTTTCTTTCATGCTCCGCTTCCATGAGCAAATCTTTCAGTTATTCCTTTTAAACATCTCATTATTTTCACTACCACTGTGGTCCAAGCTACCACCTTTCATCTGGGTTATTGTGATACCCTTCTAATAGTCTTCCTTCTTCATCCTTTGTCCCTCTGTCTATTGTCCACACAGTAGCAGTACCCAGAGTGATCTTGATGAATACTGTCCAGTAGCTTCTCATGTCTCTCAGAACAAAAGCCAAAGTTCTCATCACAGTCTCCTGGGTCTTCCATGGTCTGGCAATCTACCTCTCTGATTTCATCTCTGACCACTCCCTCACTGCATTTCACCTATGGTGGTCTCTCGCTATTCCTCAGAGGTTCCAGACATGTTCCTGTCTCAAAGTCTTGCACCTAAAGTTCCCTCTATCTGGAATATGACCCTGACTTCCTCTCTTACTTTCTTCATATTTCTAGGCAAGATCTTCTTAGCAAGGAGACTTTCACGCACCATACTGAGTAGAGCAGTCTCATTCACTCCATCCTCATTGCTTTCCACCATCCTGTGCTGCTCTTTTCTTTTTCAGAGTGCTCATTACCATCTGCAATATTATATTTAGGTTTTTAAAAATAGTTTTATCAGCATGTATTAGTCATATGAGGGTTTCATTATCACCTTTCCATATATGTCATATTATATTTGTGCATTTATTATCTGATTTCCTTCCTGGAAATGTCATCTCTGGAAAGGTACAGACTTTGTTTTATTCTTTGCAATATCCCCAGTTCCTAGAACCAGGACTGGCACACAGCAAGAGCTGCATAAATATTTGATGAATAAATCAATGAATGAGCTCATAAACCTAGGTCTATCTGATTCCATAATTCATGTTGCACCCTGCATACGCACTAGCCAGAGGTCCACCCTGTTTCTCTTTGTACACATTTTTCAATGTGTCCTACTATGCTCAGCTTCTCATTTGCACTTAAATGAATCTGTTTTCTTTTCAGAATCAGCATTCGGGCTTTTACTCAGCTGTTTGATGAGGACCTGAAGGAATTCACAAAGCCACTGTATTCAGACACATTTTTCTCTTTGCCTATCACCACTGAGTCAGGTAAGGCTAACCTTTCCTTCCTCTCACATGTTCGCCCAGATACCAGGCTAAACCCAACGGTGGGGGGGAACATTTATCTTCATTTGGAACTTAATCTTGATGTGATCATGGATTGATGTGGATTAGAGAGATTGTACCACTTTTGTAGCAGAACAGACTGAAAGAAGATTAATCTAGAAAAGAAAGGAGGAAGTACAAGTTTTTTTTGCTATTAAAAATGAATTTTTTAAACTGTAACAAACATTAAAATCAAAAGGTTACATAGAGCAAGATATAAGTTGGTACAAAAAGCTTTCAGTTATAAGTGGAACTGTATATATACATAGACAGTCAGCCCTGTGTACCCACAGGCTTAACACTATGTATCAAAAATATTCTAGAGCCAGGAGGCAGGGGCTCACACCTGTAATCCTAGCTACTCAGGAGGCTGAGATCAGAAGAATGGCAGTTCAAAGCCAGCCAGGGCAAATAGTTCACAAGACCCTATCTTGAAAACCCTTATCACAAAAAATTGGGCTGGTGGGGTGGCTCAAGGTGAAGGCCCTGAGTTCAAGCCCCAGTTCTACAAGAAAAAAATGTCTAGAAAAAAACTGTGTTTGTACTAAGTATAAATAGACTTTTTACATGTCATTATTCTCTAAATGATATAACATAACAACTGCTGACATAGCATTTGCATTGTATTAAGTATTATGGTAACCTGGAGATGTCTTAAAGTATACAAGAGGATAAGTAAGTTATATGCAAATACTATGTCATTTTATATTTGGTGAGGGTAGGATTTTGAATCAACCCCCTTCTGATACTGAGGAACAACTATACATAATTAAAAGGCTAGAAGACAAACACCCAAGAATTAATGTTGAATATCTCAGAGTAATGAGGTTGTAGGTGATTTCTCTTCCTCTTGTTTATTACACTTGTATTACATTATTTGAAAACGTTAATTTGGAAGACTGTGGGTATAGCTCATTGGTAGAGTGCTTGCCTAGAATGTGTAAGGGCCTGAGATCAATCTCTACCACCACAAATAATAATAATAATAATTTAAGTTAAAATGTTCTTTTAAAAGGCTTTAAGTAATTTAAGAAAGAAACCTCTCTAGTTTGTTAAAGGGAAAACCTGACAAATAGTAGTAGTTAGTATTTGCTAGAGTTATACTTTTAGGCATTTTACATAGAGTAGCTATCCAATCCTTATATAACTTTTTGAGATAGATACTATTATCATTCTCATTTTAAAGATGAGGTGCCTGAGGCACCAAGAGGTTAGTAACTTGCCAAGATACAGCTGGAATTCTGGCACTTTCTCCCTAAGCATGCAGCCTCTGCATGCACAGCATCTGTATATGCCGTCTCTGAGTACTGCCATCACGCTGGGAATGGCCTCACTCATCCTCTTGTTTCTTGACACCACTGTCTCTCTCAGCTTTTCTGTGGCCAATGTGCTACAGGCTTGGTCTTTTGGTCTGGGGAAGGTATTTAGAGATAAATCAGTCTTTCCTGCTGCATGACAAGAGATGGCTCAGCCTCACTAACATTCCTATCTACTTAGGCCAAATACAGGGATAAGCCTCCACTTTTCAGACCAAAGAAGGGCCAGAACCCAGCTAAGAGGATTTAGATGTATTTGCTTATAATTTGGTATTAAGTATTGACTTTGTAAAAACAAATCTTTCCTATTTGAAATATTGTTATACAACAAAATTTTTATGCAGTCCAGTAAAGGAATACACTAAATATACATTCAAAACAGGATATTAAACACATTAAAAGAAAGATAATTGTGTTGATTTGATGAGTATTGAAACACAATATAGAATAAACAAATCCAGAGTCTTAAAATGTAACTCCAAAGTTCTCTAGACCTAAATATGAGGGACAAAATAGTAACACTTTTTAAAGATAGGAGTAAATGTGAACCTGGAGTGTTAGACCCAAAGCCCAAACTCTTGAGATTCCATATGCCAGATCTGGCCACCTACCTCCAAATGCCAAATAAAGAGGCGTGGTGAAGGCAGAGAAAGGAGGTTTATTACACGGTTCAGAACATGTTTTGTGAAGAGGCAGAGTAAGCACTCAGCTCATCTTCAGCCATCCTCGGGGTACAGACATGACTTATAGGTTTAAATAGACAAAAGAACTGGGGGCAGGGGACAAAGGTATACATAGTTAAACCGCCCCAGTCACAGGTATGTTCTGGTTGACCATTATCTCAGTTCAAGGTTTCTCAGAGGGGTTCCAGAGAAGATGTTATCGCTGTCATCTCTTGAAGGGAACGATATGGTTCACATGAGATGATTGCTCCTGCTCCAGGGTGCAGCCTCATCATTGTAGGTAATTGTCCTCATTTGGAGGGGTGGTCTGTCCTGCAAATCTCCACTGTTCCTTATGGGAAGTTTCAGTCCCTGTCATAAAGTTGTTATCAGTCCTGTCCTTTCTGGAATCCGTGGTGATTACAAAGTAATTGCAAAGAGATACAAAATAGAGTCAGGGATGCCAAGCTTCTCCTGTGTTTAATTTGGGGGCCAAGTAAGGAGTTAGTGCTTTTCAGCAAAAGCAGTTTGAGTGCCTCTTACAAATCTTTGTGACCTTGGGTTATAAAATGGTTTCTTAGATACAACACCAAAAGCATAAGCAACAAAGAAAAACAGATGTATTGGAGTTTTAATCAAGATTAAAAACTTTGTGTTTCAAAGGATACCATCAAACAAGTGAAAAGACAACACTTAGTACAGAAAAGAATATTTGTAAGTCATGTGTCTGATAAAGGTTGAGTATCCAGGATGTACAAAGGACTCTTGCCTTACAACTCAATAATAATAGACAAATAACAATTTTTTTAAATATGCAAAGGATCTAAATAGACATTTCTCCAAAGATGTGCAAATGGCCAATAAGCTTATGAAAAGATGCTCAATACCAATAGTCGTGAGGGAAATGCACATCAAAACCATAATAAGAGACCACTTCATAATCACTGAAATGGCTAGAGTCAAAAGATATGAGGATATGGAGAAATTGGAACCCTCATGCATTGCTTGTGAGAATGTACAATGGTATAGTTGCTTTGCAAAACACTTTTGCAGATATTCAAAATGTCAACACAGAGCTATCATATGACCCAGGAGTTCCACTCCTAAGCATATCCAAGGGAAATGAAATCAAGTCCACACAAAAACTCCCACATCCACATCCACATGGATGTTCACAGCAGCATTGTTCGTAATAGCCAAATGGTAGAAACAAAAACAACTCAATTACCCATCAAAGGATGAATAGATAAACTAAATTCCACATATTCATACAATGGAATTTTATCCAACCATAAAAAGGAACAAAATATTGATATATGCTATCTAGATGAACCTTGAACACCTTATGTTAAGTGAAAGAAGTCAGTCACAATGGTTATATATTTATGATTCAGTTTATATGAAATGTCCAGAAGAAACATATCGATAGGCATAAAAAGTACATTGGTGGTTGCCAGGGGCTGGGAAGAGAGAAGGAAGAATAGGGAGTAACTACTAATAGATGGGTTTTTCTTTTGGAGGTGATGAAAATGTTAATGAAGTTTTTTGTGGTGATATTTGCAAAACTCTGTGACTATAAATTTAAATAAGTAGATTATGTGCTATGTGAATTATATTTCAGTGAAAATTTTTTTTAATAGGCTAACTGGGCATAGTGGCATGTATCTGTAGTCCCTGTTACCAGGGAGGCTGAGGCAGGAGAATCTCTAGAGCCCACTCCAGAGTTCAAGGCTAGCCTGAGAAATATAGTGAGATCCTGTCTCAAATTAAAAAAAAAA